TTGTTCCCCTTCCCATTTGAACATTTTCTTCCTATTTCCCACTATCTATTACACATTTTGGTCCTTATTTACCTTCTCAGTCTTTCTTTGGTTTTAGTGCCTTTCAAACTAGTAGAAGAAGCTGCCACTAAATGCTAATTGCAGAATCTCCCTTTACAGAAATAACCAGTTATTATTTACAGAATATATTAAAATCAGCAGATAATATATCTGACAGTCCTCTCCTGGTAGAAATGGCTAGCAATATATGAAAGCACATATTCAGTCACTTTATTTTTCATTTGCAGTAATACTAAGCTTATTTTCAAGTAACTTTAATTAGGGTTTTTCTTCAGTATCTACGTTATTTCCCTTTATTTACCAGACACTTGCAAGTGCAGAATAGAAAGTACGTATCATTAATTTTTATGAGACCACATACAGCTTAACTTTAATTTCACATGTTACATAAATAATTGGAAATGCAGGGAAAGAAAAATTAACACTTGGATGACATCCTAGTTTACAAAACTCCTTTGCATATTACAACCCACATATCTGTAAGATAATAAGGAGAAATAGTTTCTTTATAAAGAAAAGAACTGAGACTAAGAAATGCTGATATTTGAGTTTATAGTTCTACCACCTCCTGGAGGACCTCAAACAAACCCCTTAATTTGTGTAATTTTCTAAACAGTAAAACAGAATGAAGAATACAAGCTACTTCATAGGATATGTGTGAGATTAAAAGAGTTAATATGTGGAAGACACTTAGACCAGCTCCTTGTTTAGTAAAGGTTTAGTAAATGCTCAGTGTTAGTCATTAGTTTTTACACCACACAACTAATAATAAATGGGGGGATTTGTCCCCAAATCCAAACCTCTGACTCAGCCCCGAACTCTTTTCATAGTACAGTATAATGTAGAATTTACTTTTAGTAGATCATTGATTTAATTTCCACCCCATGTTAATCTTGTTCTAGAAGGAATCTTCTTCAAATACTTTACTTTGACCTTAAATTTTTCAAGATCAAAAAGAAAATGATTTTGAAGGATTCTTCCTTCCTGATTTTAAAAATGCTGTGATTTTTTATTATTGTCTGGGTTTGCATGACCTTGAAGTGTTAGGCATTTTATGTTAGGTAAGATATAAAGTTGTTTTCGTGGGTGACTCTGGTGTTCTAGTGAATTTTGTTTTGGTTGAAAGTGTCAGAAGTGGGAAATAGAGTTGATGGAAATTGTTGAACTACACCCCAGAGGGATGTTTACTTACATGTGCATCTGTAGTGCTAACAGAATATTGTCATTACAGAGTGGCAGCTTGCTAAACCTGAAGCAAAAACAATTTTTTTTTTTTTTTGCTGATACTGTAATTAAATCCAGTGACACTGTGCTGCTAAACTTCATCCACTGCCCTTTTCATTTAGCTAATTAATTGACTTAAAGGGGCAGACAGGATCTCACTAAGTGGCCCAGGGCTCAAAGTTGGGATCCTCCTGCTTCAGCTTCTCCACTGCTGGGATTGCCAATGTATGCCACTACACCTAGTGTAGATGACTGTCTTGATGTGGAATTTTTTTTTTTTTTTGAGACAGGGATTTGCTTTGTAGTTCAGGCTGGCTGTGAACTCACTGTGTAGCCCTAGCTGGCCTCAAACTTATAACAGTTTTCCTGCCTTAGCCTCTCAAATGCTGAGATTACAGGCGTGTACCACCATGCCTGGCTCTAGAATTATTTGTTATAAAAGAGTCATTCTAAAGAAATTAGTAAAGAATTACAGATAATTCCCTGGAGAAAGTGAAGAATTTGTAGATTTCTCTTGGTAACAGTATTTGTACTAAGCTTTTCCATGTAACTCCCAGTTGTTTTTACTCTGTCTACTGCAAATGTAGACCTTTATGGCCATGTGATAGGCCTTCGTGAAAATCTGTATGCTTTTATGGTAGCTACTCATCTGCTATGAGTAGACAACTTCCCTGTTCTCTGATGCCCAAGGTCAGCTGAAAACTGGATTTGACATACAGGATTGCAGAGGGTGAGCAGTGATGTAGGGGAAAGAAGTCAGTTTGGAGGCCTCTCGAGACAAGGGACTGGAGCAAGCCCCAGCTCACTGAGCATGCTCACTGCCAGACCTTTTTGACGTGCCTGTCCGTAATACTGTATATAAACAGACAGGCTCACCTCCAGAGGCAGCATGTCCATTATGCTTCTTTTGATGTTTGTGAAAGATCTGTACCAGAAATTAAAATGGTTAACACAGGAGGTTGGAAGGAACCTGCTAAAACCTTTTGGTTATTATTTTGTTTGTTTGCTTGTTTGTTTGTGACAGGGTCTCACTACGTAGTTCAGGTTGACCTCGAGCCCACTATGTAGTCCAGGCTGGCCTCAAACTGGCAGTGATCCTCCTGTCTTGGCCTCCTGAGTGCTAGGATTACGGGCATACATCACTGCGCCTGGCAATATTTGCATTTTTAAACTCACTTATCTGAATTACCATATTCAGCGAGTAGTGTTAATATCCTCATTTAAGTGAAAACATTGAATTTCTAATAGATTCCTTGGGACTTGGTGATAGTTTGAGGCTGTTTGCAAAAGACAGAGGATAAAGAAATGACATATTATCTCTTCTACTTTTGCAGTTAGAGACCAGCCTGGGCTACAAGGTTTTATTTTATTTTTTCGTCTAGGCACTTGCTGAATCCTTTGACGTATCTAGCCTGGGAACAAAGCCCAGAAGACAGCCCTGGGTCATAACACCTGGGCAGCCTCTTTCTGCAGGTGGCCCAGCTTGGCGCTTTCTCCTGTGTGTTGGCTTCTGCCTATGGTGTTGGCCGCTGTCTGGTGTGCTGGGCAGCTGCTGGTCTTTTTCCTGCTGTGCTTGCTTGAATGCTGTGTATAGTGTTTAAAGAGCTGGAGAAAAGGGTAAAAAATAATAGCTATTACCCACTGCCGCTGTCCTTATATGACAAGATATTACCTACCCAGGACTCCAGAGGACTTTGATTCTTAGCCATTTGATTATATATTAGACATCTTTGTTTGATGTGTGAGAATTTTCTGTGTGTGTGTGTGGGGGGTCTTATTCTTCACCATTTGCATCATTCTGGCACACAGTGCTCCAGAGGAGAATAGTGTTGGTGATGATTTCCTCTGAGGCCCGTAGCAGGACTAGGAGCAGTGGTGTCAGTGAGAGATTTAGTGACGCTATCAGAGTTGTAAAGAGGTTGAATTAGCTGAGTTCTCAGGCTCAGACTAGCTCATGATGGGCCTTTGCTCAGCTGCCATGCATGAACATCAGTGTCTAGCAAGTGCCAGAGTTGGCCCCCTGAACATCTGTTGTTCTTTTTAAAGTCTTGCTGATTCTCTCAAGTTAGACTTTTTGCTCCTCAGAGCTTCTGTGACACTTTTTGTCCCCATTTATCTCCCTCAGCTTTGTACTGAGTAGTTAATTGTCCAAATATCTGCTTATTCTGCTGCATTACTGAGAGCAGGAAGCGAGTCTTCTTCATTTTAGTGATCTCATGATGCACAGATTGCATTCCACTTGTAATAATTATTCTAAATCTCACTGAATTGAACTAGACAAAACTGGATGTGTTGGTAGAGTGACTATAGTTCATAATAATGTATTATATATTTTATTTTATCTTTGGTTCTTGGGATTGAACCCAGGGACTCTTGAATACTAGGCACATAATCTGCAACTGGGTTATACCCTCAGCCCTATATATTTTATAAAGAAATAGAAGAGAGGAGTTTTAAGCTTTCCAACACAGAAATGATAAATGTTTGAAGAGAGGGAAATGCTAATTACCAAGACTTGATCGTTGTACACCGTATACATTGTCAAATGATCACATTGTACTCTATAAATATATAAAATTATTATGTCAATTTTTTTTTCTTTTTGAGACAGGGTCTCACTATGCAGTTCAGGCTGGCCTTGAGCTCACTTTGCAGCCCAGGCTGGTCTCGAACTCACAACAGTCCTCCTGTCTCAGCCTCCTGAGTGCTGGGATTATGGGCATGCACCACCATGCCCAGCAATGTCAATTAAAAGTACATTGTGTTAAAAAATGACTGTCCATGGAAATCTTAAAACTAATGTCAGTGTTTCTAGATTGTGTGCTCTGCCAGGAGCATATCCTTTAGAGAAATAGCAGTAGTAGCAGCAATGATATATGAAAACACAACAGCTTGTTGTTGGGTTTTTTTAAAAACAGCTTTGTTGAGGTATTCTCACATCATGCAGTTCACTAATTTAATGTATACAGTTCAATAGTTTTCAGTTTGAGAATTGTCTAACCATCACTATAGTAGTTTCAGAAAAATTTTATCATTCTGAAAGGAAGCCGTATGCCTATTCCCTTCAATCCCCCAGTTACATGCAGTTGATCTATTTTTGTCTTGATTTGCCTGTTCTGGGCATATTTTCTATGGCTTCTTTCACTTACATAACACTTTAAGGCTCATCCCTGTTGTAGCATGTGTCAAGCCTATGGGTTGGTGGAAAGTGGTGGGCAAGCACTGCAGTTGTGGCTGGGGCCCATGGTGAGTGAGTCTGTTGCCCTCATTAAATCATAATGAGACCTATAAGACCTAACTTCCATAGCAGTGTTCTGAACTTGTTTCCATGAGTAGTCTTTTTTTTTTTTTTTTTTTTTTTTTTTGGTTTTTCTCTGGTACCGGGAACCGAACTCACGACCTTGTGCTTGCCAGGCAGGCGCTTTGCCGCTGAGCTAAATCCCCAGCCCCTCCATGAGTAGTCTTGAGAACCAGACAAGGTACTACTGCAGTACCTAGCTAACTCAGCTGGTAGAGCATGAGACTCTTTGCAAGGTAATATCTATGAGCTCCTGAAACAGTGTCTAGCACACAAGGGTCTGAAATCTTTTTGTCCCATTTGAACTTCTTAGATTTTAGTAATACTTGGTCAAAATGAAACAGGTAATTTTTTGGCTGGTACTGTGAGTTAAATTTACTTATTCCTCTCTCCCACTTTTGTTTTTATTCTCTCCAAGGCTATGCCTTCCTGCTATTCCAGGAGGAAAGCTCAGTACAAGCTTTGATAGATGCCTGCCTAGAAGAAGATGGGAAACTGTACCTATGTGTGTCAAGCCCGACCATCAAGGATAAACCGGTAAGTTATACATAGCCACCTGGTGCTTTTCCAGAGCACATATGTAACTGGAATAGCTGATCTCCTCCTCCTTATAATGGAAATGCTGATAACTAGGATCCTCTTACCTGGGTTGACCTTGCTGTGCAGTAGAGCTGCACTGTTGTTGGTAACAGAAAGCTAATAAGGAATCACTCAGTGTTTCATATCATATTTTGGGTAGTGCATGTAAGCAAATGTGCCCTTGTCAGCTACTTTACAATCCTGGTAAGCTAATTCCTATTGAGAAACTCTGAATTGAGATAAATAATGCTCTTAGTGGTTTGTCATTTTTTTCAAATCAAGGACAGAAGTAATTTACTTTAAAAATTGTAGTTTTTAATGTCTCTGTGCCTTTTAATGTAAGGCTTTTGTGCTGGTGATACCCATAGGTATTTAAACAGAGCTTACACTGTAAAATGGATAGTTTCTCCAGGGCAGGAGAGGGGACAGCCTGAGAATATGAAGCTGAAATAATAAATGCACTTATATCAGAGTTTGTGGTTAAGAGTATAAGCCAGAGAATAAACCACTGGGCAAAGAAGATATCAGTGGAGAAGATCATATTCAAAGCAGAAGAAAAGCACTGGGTTAGCATGGCAGCAGTAGGGATCTGTGGGAATTTGGTAGGGGTAGAAGTGGGATGGGGTGGGTTTGTGTGTCAAGGCTGGATTCTAGGAGTGGGAAATAGAGTAAAAATAGTGATGTAGAGTGGGTGAGAGACTGAAGCTGTGTTTCACAGGGCTTGAATCAACCCTATAAACCTGCTTTAAATGTATGAGGTTTGCTTGACAGCGAGGTATATTCTCAGAAATGTTTTGGGGAATGCTGGATCTGGTGGTAGACGCCTGTAAGTGCTTGGGAGGCTGAGTCAGAAGCATTGCTGTGAGCCTGAGGCCAGCCTGGGCTACATAGTGAGTTCAAGGCCACTGTGAGACCCTGTCTCAAATAACAGACAACAACAAAGTGTTTAGGGAAGAGTCGTGACTTATTTAAATGTCATTTTGGCTCTGAATAAGTCATCTGATCCTTGCCGACTTGTAATTCCCTCAACTAGAAAATGGGAAGAATAATGACTCTTCTCTGTCTTTTTCAAATAAGATTAAAATGAATGTGAAAGCATTTCATAGAGCTCAGGTACTTGTGCAGGGGTAACTTGTTGGTATTATCAGTCTTACTCGCTGCCATAGGATTCAGGGGAACAAGGTTAGAGCTCAGCACATGGTGACATCTATTGACAAGAACAGGGTTTACAACTGGTTGTGAACCATGAAGTGTGGGATTTGAGCACCTATAAAGGAAGAAAATCCAGTGTGTAAAGCCGAAGAGGAAATTTCTAAAGAATGGGGTTATGGGGTCATGCAGAGTAATTAATGCAAAAAAGACACAAAGATTTTAGCTAGTGTGAAAGTGTCATTGTAATTTTCAAATTCTAGGACTAGTGCTATATTTTGATAACAATAATGACAGTATTCAGCAGGGTAGCTGTACAGGTAGGGAAACAGAAAATAGGTGACAAAAAGAGTAGGGAACCTTTGCTAACTTTGGTCTTTAAACAGGGTGGAGGGGTTGTGTATCATATGGGAGACATGAGGACTGACTAGAATGGAGGTATGAAGTACTTCAGGTAAATAAATAATGAGGTTGAAATAACTTCTTTAAATCCCGCTGGAGTACTCTTTGGAATAATGTGAGATTAGAAAGTGTACCAAGCTGGGGACAGTGGCAGACTTCTGTAATCCCAGAACAACTGTGAGTCCTTCCTGGGCAATGTAGCAAGACTCTGATTCAAAAATAAGAAATAGTGAAAGGGTCAGGGTATGTAGCTCAGTGTGAAGGCCCTGGATACTGGAAGTAAAAAACACCTATACCAACTCTGTCAGGATCAGATCTCTTAGAGCCACGGTGGGAAATCTATGGTGCCCCTGCCACAGCAGGCTGTTTGTATCACTGAAAGCTCTAAAAGGTTCACCATCACTGTCTTAGAGATAAATGGTCAACTTGCAGAGAGCCTCTGTCACTGGCACATCAGAGAAGACAATAGAAAGAGGTAAGGTGGAATTGGCCATACGCTACTGGAGAGGGTCTTAAATAAGTGTATAATAATGTTGCCCATGGTAGGGAAGAAGCTGTTGGGTTGAGGTGAGGAGACTGAGGATGAGTCTGTCTAGGGCTTGACCGTGGAAGGAACATGTCACTGTGTCTGCAGCGGAAGGAGGATAACATGCCTTAGAGGACAGGCTTTTTCCAGGATGGGATGTATATTGAGCAGGGAGCAAGCTGTGATAGCTGCAGATGTAGAGGAGGTAGATGTCTTTGCTGTGGAGTGTCTGCACTCTAGACACATCTATTACCTGTGGCTTGAAGAACTTTTTAAAATAATTAATATAATTATCTACTTTAGAAATGTTTATGGGGTAATTTTCATTGTTTCTGTTTCTACAAATGTCTGCATTATTGCAGTTTACATTTTCTGAGCTCAAGTGAAACAGTTTTATTGGAGCATGGTGAATTCTCAATGATAACTGCCAAGTATGCATTTCTTTGACCCAGACATACTCAGAATTTCCAGTATAAATACAGTAATTTTAATAAAACTTAGGATAGGAAACATAAAAGTCCCCAAACATCTATAGTTTTAATGAACTGGGTCCCCTTTGGAGTTCCAGCTCTTTGGGTTTCACTTTTTGAAACCTCTTTCTTGGCTTTACCTCCACATCCATGATGCTCCACCTCATTTGATCACATTTCCCTGCCAGGATCTCACAGAAAGTGAGAGCTAGATTGAACCCCAGGAGTAAAGAAAGACTTTGGAAATACTATTTCCAGGCAGATTCAACCTTTGGGCTCATTCACCAAATGTTTTGAGCTTGGCTCATCCTTGCCGCTACTGCTTAACTTAGCTAATCTTCATTCTGTACCTGTCAGTATCCTGGTCCCTCATTCTGTAGATTAGTTCTTTCTGACCCTTCTTGGATTTCTCCTTAGAAACTCACCATGTTCCAAATGTGCTTTGTCCTTCTTTCTTCCCCTCAAAAATCAAACTATTACCCTTGAGTGGATCAGATTGATCAGTTTGTTTTCCTAAAGCAAAGCCAGATTACAAAGTTCTTTCTCACCTACCTAGTCTAGGATTGTTTGTTTTTTAACTCAAATGAATTGGTGTTACTCAAATGAAATTAATGGATGTTAATAATATTAAGGAGATACTTTTCATCAGTGATTACCTTTCATTAGATTAAACTATTTCAAGTATAGGCCTGGTAGTGAAACCTGGCAGAAAGAGCAGTTTTTGTAGCCTGATTGACTCCTCAGTCCCAAAGAATAGGAAGACAAATTGGCAAGAATGGGAACTTTTGTTGTCAAGAACGGGAACTACTGCAAAGCTTCTAGATCTACTTTCTGTTTCCTCCAATGAGAGGAGGTCCATGGCTCAGGTGTCCCAGGCTTTCCAGAAGGTGACTTTGTCTCTGTGCTTCCGATGAAGCAAGCAGACATTGTGCACAGTGGTTCCTCTCACCAAAGTGCGTCTACTTTTTGAGCATATAAATAGATTGAACCTGGTTGTGGGAGACAGCAAGCTGATAGAGCAAGGGACTTATAGGGGTCTAGCAGAGATCAGAGCTGAAAAGGAGGAACCTTGAAAAGAAGGTCAAAAAGATGTTAATGATTCTTACCTGCTAGAATGCTTTGAACAGAGATGTGGGATAGGAAAAACCTTGAAAGGAATATCAGAGAAGTTTTTTGCTTCCTTTCTCACAATTTATAGTATAGTCACAATTTCTATGTACCTTGAAATATGATAGCATGACTTTACCGTATATTTAAAAACCATATATTCAAACTGAAGTGTGTTTTTGTAGGTTAATTCTTTAGATGAGTGCTCAAGTGACATGGTTATTCACTTAAAATTTGAAAAGTAGAATTGAAAAGAATGATGAAAGCAAGGAAGATGGAAATAGAGGCTGGCTAGTTTTTCATGTCTTTTAATTCTGATCTTGGGTACTTTCAATCCTTCCTCTTTAGTTATGAAAGTAGTCCAGACCCTTTTGCCTGGGAGTCTAGCTTCAATTTTTTCCCACTCTTTCCTTTTTTGGCTTTCCTTTTGAACCCCATAGTCTAATAAAACTGAAATATTTCTGTTCCCATCTCAAATTTTAATTTCTACCCTTATTTCAAGACCCCTTTAAATACCATCTGTTTGGTTAACCTCCCATGATACTTATTATAATAGTTGTCTGTAACCTCACATAAATCCATCTTTTTAAAAATGTTGTGCCTTCCTACCAAGTATGGTGGTACATGCCTGTAATTTCAGCACTCGAGAGACTGAGGCAAGAGGATCACTGCAAATTCAATGCTGGCCTGGGATATGTAGCGAGTTCAAGGCCAGCCTGAGCTACATAGCGAGACCATATTTCAAAAAAAAAAAAAACAAAAAAACCCCCAAGAAATAAAGTACTAGATACTGTGAATCAGAACTTACTGTAAACTGACATAAAAATCCGTGTTAAAAAAGTTAATAGTGTAATAGGTAGGTAAAAGAAGTATATAAATATACAGAGTATTTACAAAGCCTGGCTCGTAACCAGCTCTCAGATACCTGTTAATTAAGAAAAAGGGAGCTGGGCAATCCCAGCACTTGGGAGGCCAAGGGGAGAGGACCCAAGGGAGACCCAGGCTGGCCTGGGGTACATACAGATTTACGGCTGGCCTCCACCATATAATAGGGTCTCAAAAAGAAAAATGACAGAATGGTAAAAGTAGGATACAAATCGTGCACTTTGAAGAGTATACCTAGGGTAATTGAAGGAAACTTCCTAACGGGGCATGGTGGTGTATGCCTGTAATCTCAGCTCCTTGAAAGTCTGAGGAAGGAAGGTTTGCAAGTTCAAGTTCAGCCAGGGCAACTGAACCAGACCTTGTCTCAAACAATAAAATTTTCTGAAAGACTGGGCATGTAGCTCAGTGGTGCAGTACTT